AGGCATTGTTGAACGAAAATGTAAATCTGGGGAGTAAATGAAAGCCAAAATTGAACTGTCGATAGATGATGTTGCCGAAAAGGGGAGGTGAAGAGGGAGAAGGCTGACCAGTCAGCTATACGGGTTAGCCGTAACGACAACACTGCTTTTGCTGTCTTTGTCGTTATCATCACCATCATCCTCAGTAACAGCAGCAGTAGCAGCAGTTAAAACAGCTAAAACAGCAACATTAGTGGATATAAAGCGGGAGTTGATGTTTATCCACCGTCAATAGAATACATAACCGTTGCCAAAACTATTATTGTTGACCTGTAGGAGACATAGGCAACATTAACTCTTTTAGCGTACATTGCGTTCCATCACGGCCATCAAATATGCATAAATTTTTTCTAGTACGTGTACTTTTCATCTGTAGTTGTTGTTTTGAAGAAATTTTTGTTAGCAAAAAAAATTTTTAAATTTTTGAACCTACTTTTGTCGTTTAAAAAGGCGAATCGTGGAATAGAGAGCTTTACTTAATGTTCGCGAAACACCCTATGGCGTTAAAATTTCTTTGTCTTTTTCTTTAGCAAAATCCTTTTATAGATAGATAAATAGATAGATAGATAGATAGATAGATTTATGTGTTTAAATCGATGGATTTTTTTGTAACAATTGCTCAGTTTTTCTAGCTTTTACTTTCTCTACAAGCTTTTTTTTTTGCATTTTTTTTGTTCTTTTGACCTGACAGACAGCCTAGCAAGTCAGGTTGAGTTTCATTTTATTTTGCTCATTTGCTTCCAGACTCACTGGTTGTCTCTTCTACTGTTTTAAACCTTAGAAATGATATTAATTTATTTGTTCTTCGTACTGGCTCTTATTCTTTTTCTAATTCAAGTATAATAAAGTTATGCGGTGACAAACGGTGCAGCGGATGATTAGTTATTATTTCATCTGCCTCAAATATTGTTAATTGTTGATTCAGTCTAGTTACGGTGTTGTTTGTTGCTCAAGAAAATTTCTTTGAATTTTTTTT